TGACTGCAGAAGAATGGGGCAAAATTCTAGCTGATTGATTTATAAACACCTGAAAAAAACATAGTTTATTTGGAAAGTGCTGAAACGTCCTTAAAGTGACTTCACTGGAAGCCACTTCAGTTTAGTAAAATAGATTGTCCCAAAATGGGTTAAGGTGGATAGAAGACAAGGCAGCTCTAAAGGACAGACAAAGGAGTGGGGAGGACAACGTTGAAGCTAAAGATGCTTCTTCATCACTAGTTCTTCCCAACAGCCCATGGCCAGTAGAAATGTTCTCTGAAGCAAAATGCCCTGGGTTGTTGATTTTATGCAGACAGCTTTCTGTCTTACAAATCAGCAAAGCAACACTTTCCTTTTTTTTTTTTTTCCTTTAAAGTTAGTTACTTCATTGTTCACATCTTTTATAGCCACAGGAATCCATATAAGGTAGGGATAGCTTGTCTAGGTTTTTTTCATGCATGTTTAGGCCTGCCTTCATCCAGTAAGAATGCTTGCGCATGTATTGGGAGAAGGTGAGAGTTGCTGGCTTTGTAAGGATGACTATGTCATTTTGTGTTTTTCTGCCTTTTAATTTCATTTAGGAAAAAGATAAGACATTTTTACCTCATCATTTACAATTAAATTCTAACTTTTTTTTTTTTTTTTATTGTGCAGGGCTGGTTATTTGCCTCAGAATATTCCTTTGGAGGTTATCAGATACCTTTCAGAGGAGAAGGATTTTCTACCTTGGCATGCTGCCAGCCGAGCTCTTTATCCTCTAGACAAATTGCTGGACCGCACGGAAAACTACAACATCTTCAATGTAAGAGAGAGTCAGCCCCTTCCTTCCTTCCTTCCTCCTCCCTTCCTCCCTCCCTCCCTCATCTTGCTCTGTCTCCTTTCATTGCCAAAAGTGGATCTATTCCCCAGTCGGATACTGTAAATGACTAGGGATATTAGCTCTCTTCCTTATTATTCTTTATTTAAACATAACAATTGTCAGGCTTTGGTTCATTTGCATTTGAACAGTGATAACTGTTGTTTGAGGCATGTGATTAGTAGAAGGAAAGGTAATTATCCCTCCTATAAAATATTATGGCAAATAAAGTATTTCACTTAAAAGAGCCAAAGTAATCTATTTCCAGATTTTCTCTTTTGAGGACCCCCACGGCGATGTTTAGATTGATGCCCAAGCTCAGCAAGGACACCAAATGCAGGCACAACTGAACAGGATGCATACAACTGAAGTAAAGATTTGTAGTCATTATTTCATCCAAACAGCCATGGTGAATTCAATGTAGTTACCTTAATTAACAAGGATTAGATCACCATTGAATCAAAAGCCCATTCATAATTGAGTCCGAAGGGACAGCAGTAACAGCTAGCAGTAGATAATTAAGATAGACATGACAAACATTTTAACATTTTACCTGAAATAAAAAAAAAGCCCTAGCTACGCTGAAGCATGTTTAATGAAGTACCACAGATTTGATTGCAGCCAGTGACATTTATGAACTTGGTTTTTTTATTCACTATGAATTTTGTGTAGTCTGTGTATTTTCAATAGCCACCATACTGTAACTTTTTATAGTTTTTTAAAACCATCAAATGAAGGAGCTGTCTAAAGCCTGAAATGCTTAAAAGTGTGGGGTTTTTTGTTTGTTTGTTTTTTTGTTTCTAAACATATATTTGCTTGTGTGTTTGTGTCCACAGACACACATGCTCAGAGAGCAGGAAGCTAGAAGTGGCTGTATGTATGTATTTATAAGTACATACATGTATATGTACAAATGTAAACAGAACTGTCTGCTGACATGGAAAATTATTGTTGTAGAACATATGCTACAGATTAATAAAGACACATTAAAATTCTTCATGAACCTATAATGTAGGCCTACGTGCCAACCAGAGCCATAATATAAAATGATTTTGAAATAATTTGCATATTTAGTCTCTTGTTAACTGCACAGAAAAATTCTTATGAGTCTGCCATTGCTATTTCAGTTTTAAACATAGATATGTAAAGAAAACACAATTTTAATAAATAAAACTAGTAAAATTCACGGCTGGGTTATGTTTTATCACTACTGATGAGAGCTTTGAAAGCAGAGCTGTAGCAGAGGAAATAAAAAGTCTTTTTAGTCACAGAATAACATATCTACTAGAGAAAACTGCACTGTGAATCTCCTTTTGTGTTGACATCATATATACATGCCTGTGCATCCACAATAATAAAATATGCTCTCCTATGGAGTTCTTATTATCTCAGTTCTCTTTTTCAAATTGATGAATTCCACTGCCAAAAGATTACACTGAATACAATGCCAGTGGTTTTCTTAACAACTGGTCAGAATATGTAAATATGTCTCCTTTGTAAAAAGTAAAAGTAACTAAACTAGATCTTGGGCTTGTTTTGTTCTTTAAGCCCGCCAAGAACCTAAACTTAAAGCATAGTGTCATTAAGCGTACAAAGTTCATTTGCAGCCGCATTGTTCAGTATTCTGAAGTCAATTAACTGTACTTACATAACATTTTTGCCATGGCTATGAATATTAAAATAATATTCTTTTAAAAGTGAACATGCACAGGATAGTTGAGATTGGCCATAGAGCAGAAATTAAGCTGTTGACACTCTTGCAACTTTTCAGCCAGTTACAAATAGCATGTAAGAATATTAATTTAATATTGCAAGTTACAAATAGCATGTAAGAAACTTTTTAAATTGATGGTGCTTATCTAATCAAATAGCTGTTCTACACGCAACTTCTCAGTACAGCAGTGAAGGAGGATTATAAGTGGACATGTTAAGTTGATAAATGTAAATCAAAATCTTTGTAAAGTCAGACATTTTTTGAGGGTGAAAAGAGACGTAAAAACTCAATAACCAGTAGTATTTCAATTTCAAATAAAAAATAAATGTTAACATTAAATATGCTTTTCTTTTTCCCCTCAGGAGTATATTTTAAGACAAGTTGCATCAATGTATCTCAAGCTTGGATGGCCAACAAATAATTTAAACAAATCACTTGTTCAAGCATCATACCAACATGAGTACTGTTATTATTTCTTCTTTATCGTTTGTTTGTGGGATATAGCTGTAATAATGCACTGTCCTAAAATTTGGTGTCATCTTCAGCATGTCATACTTTCCTAGCTCTGTCATTCTTCTGTTTTTCCTTTCTGGGTTAGAGAGAAAGCAGCAAGATGCTGTGAGCTTAATTCCTCTTTCCTGAGTTGGGAGAACATGATTTCCTAAGCCTTAATTTAGTATTTGACTGCAATGGATGTTTAAGAACTTGGACTCATGTGACCACAGAGACCAGGAAGAGTGCATAAGTGTAAACGGGGCTGGTTTTGGTCCATGACCTTTCTTTAGTTGTTGCAGCAGCTGTAGGCATTAAATTGACACTGAGATTTGTATAGCTGGGTTATCTTTGATATGTTGCCCAACTATCAGTTGGTGCCGCTGTTCTAAGAAATACCTTTTTGTAAACATCAAAACGAATTAATTAACTCAGCTGCCTTATTTTTTTTTAATTTGGACAGAGAGTTGCGTCGGGAAGTCATCATGTTGGCCTGCAGCTTCGGTAACAAACACTGTCACCAGCAGGCTGCAACATTAATCTCGGACTGGATTTCTAGCAATAGGAACCGGTAAGTGGAACCAGAATGAGTATTTCCCGTTTCTCCTACTCAGAGGCAATATAGCTGGCATGCTCTTCCTCTCCTGCCTGCCACCACCTGCGCTGCCCTGTTCTGCAGGGTGCAATAGGAGGAAGCAGAGGTCGCTGGGTGTTATTTAGAAATGTCTGTGGGGTTTCAGAATGGATTATTTGGCTTTGCATGTATGAGTGGGTGGAGGGGACACTCATGTCGTCTCTGCCTACTCTTATTAAATTGCTGTCAGATAATTAATGCTAGAAGGCAAGAAGATGGGTTTAAAGGAAGAAAGATGAGTGAACATCGCACTGGCAGATGAACATAGAGCCTGTGTTGGGGCAAGAGAGCAGAAGGTGCTAAGTGATAAAAGAAGTGAGAGAGGTTAGAGGCAGAAGGACAAAGAAGTAAGAAGGGAGACAAAACAATACATTTGAGGGAAATGTTATGAAGTACTTAAGAGTGAAGACTTGGTAATTAAATATGATTCAAAATACATGGAAAAGCTCATATATGGTTTCAGATAGGGGATAATATGATAGCTGATGTGTTGAGCATTAGGAGCACTGTAGTGGTTTGACAGCAAATATGTTAGGCTGTCCAGACACAGGTTTATGCAGCTGAGACAAGGGAACATGGCTGTGGATGGTGTATGAAGTTTAACTTTTAAATGCAAGCATCTAAGAAAAATAAAATTACTGAAAATACAAGTATTTAAGTATGTAGTGATATATGGACAGTGAGATAAGTACAGAGCATAGGTTAAGACCACGACTTCTTGAGAAAGAATGATGGATTTTCTGATTATGTGGAATGGGTGTAAAAGTATTTGCGTAAGTGCATCAGATTATAGTTCGGTTTAAAGGAAAATATTTTACTTTCAGTTAACAAAGAAAAATAGAAGAGAAAAAGTCTTAAATTTTTAGTCCCAATCTTGTGTTAGCTCTGCAATAAGATCAGATCTTTATAGACATGTAGGCATGCAGGATTTTTCGAAGACATCTTAGGCCAATCAGGTGTTTATTTGCAATTAAATTAAGTCTGTCTCTCTTTGTAATCTTTGAAAATCCTTTAATGGTATAGTCAGTTACATAAATACCTGAGTGTCTTTTAAAACCAGCCTTGAACTGAGCATGAATGGAAATTGCATTCTTATATGACTTTGAAACTTCTGAAAAAAATTATTGTGAAACTATGATCATATACATTTAAATTTAAAGATGTGTGTGAGAGGGGAGGGTTTTCTTGCATAAGATGGTAGCAGATATATTTACTATGAAATATATGCCCCAGGGTTTTACATGATTCTTACAGTCAGCAGCAACAATCAGTATGAAACTATTCAAAGAGGAGATTAAAGAGAAAGAATCATTGGAAACAATCTGCAAAGTAATTTACTTAGATATTCATTTGCAAAATTAGTTAATCAAACCTAGCACTATCTATTAGCATACGCAGCAGTAGATAATTCAGTGTTAAAAAGCTGTCACCCTGCAAAGCTTTCTCCTACCCTGTGTCTTCATCCTTTCCAATAGGACTGAAGAATGAGGCATCAGAAAAACAAACCAACAACATATCCATCCTCTCCCTGCCTATTTATTGCTTTACTAACAATAGCAAGAGAGGAAAGGAATAAATTTAAGGAGCCATCTGAAGATTCATCTTAGCCTTTCTATGGGGCCGTTCTTGGGAGCACAAGATTGTGGCTGCCAGCATATGACGAGTATTATGATAAAAACATCACAGCAGGGCAGAGGGAGAGAATAGCTGCTAAGTTAAAGCAGTGCCTTTCTTCAAAGGAACTGCACAGTTGTGAAAAATAGCTGCAACAAATAATGTAATTACAGAATACAGATTGACAGTCAGCTGATAAACAGGGGTACAACTTGCAAAGAAGATAGAGACATGTTTTTATTTCTGTCCTAAGATAATAGGATTTGTTCAGTTCCCCACCCCAGAATTTACCAGTTGCTATTCTCACAGCAGTCTCACGTACTGAATGTAACTAACACATGAGCAGACTCATTTCATATCTACTTGCATTGAAAAGACATTGCAAAGGCTACTAGTAATAGCTCAATAGACATAAAATGAGCTTGTGTGTCACAGTAACAACATTTGTAGGGTTCTGTCAATGTTCTCTCTGGAATGTTCAGATCCCTGCTGCATCAGAGGTACCCTATATCTCCTTTGTTCTGTTTCAACCAACTCAGACTGAAACCTGAAAATAAAAGCAGGGGCTGTTTTCCTGCTTTTCCACCAAGAAAATGACGATGATTCTACAAGACGTATTTAATTAATATGGTGTTTGAGTCACCTCCTTTAGCACTCCAGTGCCTCAATGGGGTCTACAAGTGAAGCTGGGGGCGACTTTTTACAAGGGCCTGTAGTGACAGGACAAGGGGTAAAATTGAAAGTGTGGAGATCTAGATTGGATGTCAGGAAGAAGTTCTTCCCAGAGAGGGTGGTGAGGCACTGGAACAGGTTGCCCAGAGAAACTTTGGATGCCCCATCGCTGGAAGTGTTCAAGGCCAGGCTGGATGAGGCTTTGAGTAGGCTTTGAGCACCCTGGTCTAGGGGAAGTTGTCCCTGCCCACGGCAGGGGGGTTGGAGCTAGATGGTCTTTCAGGTCCCTTCCAACCCAAACCAGTCTGTGATTCGATGATTCATTGACAATAGCTAGCTCAAGTGCGAAGGGCAAGCAGGTAACTACAAGTTACATGCAGAGAGCACATCCAACAGGTGCCATTTTGTATTCTTTCTTGTCAGTCAAGTGTTTTGCTCAGTTTGGTGCCCTTAACAGCTGTTGTGAATTTTCTGCAAACAGCCACATCAGAATCTGTGGGAATTCCTCAGAGTTTGTTTCCTCACAAAGAAGGGGAAACTGGTGCTGCTCATCTTTCTCCAGACCTCTCTGACAATGCCTGGTGGGGAAGGTGGGTGACGGTTACAGAAACTATATGTATTCTTGCCTGTTCCATCAACAATGAGTAAAGTTTTATCTGCTGAAAACTACTCTAAAAGTTCTCATAGATGCCCTTCCTTCTTCTGAAACAGAACAAAAACATTGCATGACAGAAAGCCTGATCTTGGTGGGTTTGCACAGCCAGAGCACAAAGGTAGAGTTCCAGAGAGCTCAGAGACATTTTTATATTCAAGTATAATTTCAGTTTGACTATGAGAGTAAAATAAAAGCTAATTTGCAACCTTTCTACCTGTTCACTCCCAAAAACCTTACTCTGGAAGATGAGGTGTTTCATACCATGAGCTAATTCACAAGGAGTGCATGTTGGAAGGAACACAAATTCTTCAAAGCAGTAGACCCCAAAGTGAGACTAGGGAATTAGGCTTGTGTCCCAAGATTCTAATAAATACAAAAGTAGGGTAGTATTAAATTAATATCTGGTATTAAATATCACATTAATGCACAGGCAGTAAATCATGTAAAGGAGGTTTTTGATTCCCTGGCAGTTACAGCAGTCAAGGTTCGAATAAGCATAACAGAGAACGTAAAATTAATAAGACTGTAGGAATGCTAAAATTCATAACTTTCTAGCCATATTTTTAATGTATGGCTTTTTAGAAGTTCTTTTGAAATGTTTTCTTCTGTTTTACTTGTATCATTCAATTATGGATAAAGTGTTGGGTAATAAACAAATACAGTAATATCTAGCTCTGTTTTACCAGCATATGCCTACAGTTGCTGTGGTTTCTAGTCATTATATTTAGTGTGGTAGGTCCAGAAATTAATTACCTTCTACTCTTCACTGTAGGGGATTGAAATAATCATAATAATCAGTTACTGTTTGTACTTTGTAATTACATGTTCTTTACTGTGCAAATAATTTGCCACTGTTCACCAAGTAAAATAATGGTCATTCACAGCACAAAGCCAGAGGTCCTTTCTGTGTTTCTGTCACTATTCAAAAAAAAGTATTAGGTTTCCAACTGCAGATTTTCTTATGGAGTTAGTAAAAAACCCACATATGTGATCTGCCTCCATGTGTGAAAGTGAAAGTTAGCTGAGAGGCCTGAAGGCTTGAATCCCTAAAGTGGCTTAGGTGTCACTTAGTGGCACAGGGCAGAATCAGATGCTTGGACTTAGGCTTCCTGCAAGGGGAGTTGGGAACCTCTAAATGAGGTTGGTGGCAGCCACTACGCTGAGCAAAGAGCCTCTTAACATGAGCCTGAAGAGAAGGTGGGCCCTCTTAGGGTTCAGTTCTACTGATAGAAAGATACCTATATCAAATGGATATGTAAATGGAAATCACAGAGTTGGGTGTCCTTCCAAAAGATGCCTTTCAATAGGGTCCCTAAAGCAGGAAAAGGTCGGCTCTTTTTATTTTCAAACACAGCTGGCAGAGGAGCTGCTCCTCAACCCCCTTTCAAACAGTAGTTCTGAGATTGTGGTAGAGCTTCAGTTTAGTACCTCAGTGCTTCATCTGCCCCATCCAGACCATCCTGACCACTTTCCTGTGAGGTGTTTGGGACAGGACTAAGACACTACAATACTCTTTCCTCCTCTAATTGAATCTCAACCGCTGGGATTTACTTCATTAGCAAGAGAAATAATATAGCTCTCCAGCCTAAAGATGAGAGCATTTAGCCAAAGGAGGGAGGCTTGAGTACCTGAAATAGCAGGATTGCTTAGTATGCAAAGAAAGGCTTTAGGTGATATCGCTCACCACCACTTTCATAGGGCAAAACATGATGCTAAATCAAGGAACATAACTCTAAAAAAGAAGTTTGGCTTTACAGGCTAGCAAACAAAGCACATAGCATCACATATAGAAGAGGCTATAAAGGAGACATCTGGTTGTATTGGTCTAGTAATACCAATATTTTAATCCTTGCAGTTGTTAAAAAATACGTGATTTCTTTCAGCTGAAAATCTGAGATCAGACTTCCAGGTATGGCTTATTGTCTTTTCAAATCACCATTTAAACCATTTTGCTCTTTTAAAATGGCTGATGGCTCCAGCACATTTTGCTTGAAAC